AAAACAGTTTTTAATGCAGTCCCCCATCGGCATTGACGTCCGTATTTAGCCTCCTCCGCAGGCAACTCTCTAGTTCTGCAACGTTATTAACCATAAAAGATTTATCAGGAACGTAGAAAATACAAGGAAATAGTTCTGAAATATGATATGATATTTAAAATAAACACTGGAGCGGAAAAATAGGGAGGCTTGTGGATAATCATAGTTAATATAGAAGACCAATAGTTAATATAGAAGATAATGTAGTCTCCCTATTTTTCCGCTCCAGTGTTTATTTTAAATATCATATCGTATTTCAGAACTATTTCCTTGTATTTTCTACGTTCCTGATAAATCTTTTATGATTAATAACGTTGCAGAACTACACAGTTGCCTGCGGAGGAGGCTAGTCCGTATTGACCAAAGCGTCGCTCGTGGCGGCGGCTTGCTTAATTAATAAGCTCACCGAGAACTGAAGGATCGATATCAACTGAACTACTGAAATATATAATATGAGTTGCCGAGTGAACTGCCAAGCACTTTATTAATAAACATTTGTTAAGTTGTTAACCGGCCCTAGTAATATACACTGTATTGCAGATTGATCTCCATTTTGTCCTTGAAATGGTGATACAGTCGTACCAAGCCATCTCGAACAGCTGGGGTTAGTGGGGTTCGAGACAAGCGATTCAGTTTGAATTTTGGTCGTGGACGAATGTCCTGGGTCAAAAAACGCCCAAAATGTGCGGATTTTTTTTTCTTCTCATACCGAATATTTTCTGTTTTAACAAAACGTGTGTAAGCGATCGGCAATTCTCAACTGAATATTTAACCGATGTATTTATGTTATTTACCAGCTGGGAGGTCCGTAGACCGTACTGAATATTCTCCCGTGTTCAGAGACCGAGGGAGAATATTTTTCAAGTAAATAACGTATTTGTTTTTTCGCTCGATACTTAATTAAAAGTTCCTAAAAAACTCCAGAGTCCAGTGTTGCAAACTAGATTCGAAATCACTTACAGTATGTTTGTTACTTTAATTTTGTCTGCTTTAGTCCAAGCATGACTGATATATTGCTTAAACGACACGAAAAATATTTATTTTCCTGATCGTTTTAGCCAGTTTTTCAAAAATGTTCTTTCGACACGCAGCAACAAATTGGGCTTGCTGCAGAAAACATTGTGTTCATGACAACATTTATAAAAAATATATTACTGAAATAAGTCTAGAAATCAACGTGCTTTCCATATCGGCGACGCGCAATCGTGGAGCCAATATAGACGGATGGTCCAGATAGAGATTAATTAAAACCAGGAAAAATAACTTCTATACCCAATAAATCCATAACTTGCGGAAAGATGATGTCCGTCAATGGTCACTATTAACACAATGTCAGGCCGAGCCGAAAAGTCAACCTCAGTTTACAATTGAGCGTGACGGCCAGTTATTATCGGAAGGAGAACTGGTAGAGTCTCTATATTTCAAGCCTTCCAATATTCTTACCAGCTGCGGTGTCGCCTCCTACAGTTCATCCTCACGAGGTTTGTAGTAAGTAAATAATGTTTATTTTGTGTTGGTGTTGGTGTTGGTGTTATGTACTCAAGTGAATATGATGTAGTTGTGATGTTACTTTGCGTCCTTGACCAATCAGAATATATGCCGGCCCTGAAATTCGAAACATATAACTGAACAAAAGGAGTGAGAAAATAACACCTTGTTCTACACTCTCCGTGCCATTCATATTAAACTTTTTACTCCAAAGCTGACAAATTCTGATAAAGTGTACTTTATTCTTATATTATACCTCAAATTCAAATTGTCCAATGAAAAAACAGCATTTGTACCACGTGATAATGTGATTTTTTACCATAGATATAGGAGATCTAGATTGCTAACGCATACCTAGCGCAGGCGGGGCCTACATGATAAATCCAAGATGGCGGTACAACAGGGCAAAAAGACTATAAATTCTATTACGAAAATCAGGATTTTTGCATTTTTTGCCGTCGCATTGTTTTGAAACTTATTCGGTTAAATTTTATGGTAAAGAGAAACTTACCGCGAAGATTTTGAGCATATATATGATTGAATTGGATGAAAAATCGCAAAATTATCCAGCGATAAAAGTTCGTGTGAAATGGTCAGTTGGAGTGTTTTATTGCCAGAAATACTGTGCTATGTTAACATCTATAGCCTTGTGAATGGTGTTTTATACTTGCATCTGTCATCATCATCTGCTCTGTCCTCATAATTATGAAAAATGAACTGTTATGTATCCCCCCCCCCCTCCTTGCTTGTTAGAGAAGTAAACTGATGAGAGCACTGGATGAGGGTCTATCATCTATGGTCTGTTATAATTTGCTTTTTATGCAAATAGTGAGCAAAAATTAAAGCAAAACTGTACAAGTTACATATATAGTACTATATCAGTACTATACACGAACTTTTATCGATGGATAATGTTGCGAGTTTTCATCCAATTCAATCATATATATATGCTCAAAATTTTCGCGGTAAGTTTCTCTTTACCATAAAATTTGACCGAATAAGTTTCAAAACAATGCGACGGCAAAAAATGCAAAAATCCTGATTTTCGTAATAGAATTTATAGTCTTTTTGCCCTGTTGTACCGCCATCTTGGATTTATCATGTAGGCCCCGCCTGCGCTAGGTATGCGTTAGCAATCTAGATCTCCTATATCCATGTTTTTTACGGTATTTCACTCAAATTCATGATTTCGCAATCCAGCGGGGGATACTATAATATCCCACGGCAGATCCACCGTGGGATATTATAGTATCCCACGCTCACGCGTGACGCGTGGACACCACACGCTCTAAAAAAATATGGCGTTCGCGAGCTGTTGTTTGTGATTTCGTATTTTCGTACAGAATATTTGACTTAGCAAAACATTTTCAAGACGTACGGTATGTTACCTTTAATGATCCAAAGGATACATGCTCAAATATTTTAAAGAGGAAACGTTAAAAACTCAGGTACAGTGTATACATAAGAAATTAAAAATTGTATTAATATATTGGCGTATTTTATAATATATTCAGCAAGTTTTATTTAAGTTTATTCTGAACTTAGTGAGTACTTTAACTTTCGGTATAATATATCATTTATAGACCCTCCGCTCGGGGGATTCGGCGTAATATTTCCCTCGGTGATGATATTTTCCTCGGGGCAAAGCCCCTCGGAAAATATCATCACTTCGGGAAATATTACGCCGAATCCCCCTCGCTCCGGGTCTATAAATGATAATAATTTCCTCGGGGAATTTTTAAAATTCGATCTAGAACGCGAAATATTTATGTTTGAATAACAGACTCTCACTTGCACTATCTTAACACAAACATAAAAAAATGGCAGATTTTGCAGTTTAAACCTATTTTCCCCACACCACAGCCGACAAGTTTTTAAATATTCCCTATCTGATCACATCTCGCATCGGAAATGTGTCACAACGATCCGGAACCGACAGGTACAGTATCACATGATCACTAATATACACTAAGACTGGATAGTGCCTCTCTCCTCCGCAGAGGCTTCTGTTGGCGTGTTGGCTATGATTACAATTAGTATTGAGATACATTTCACTACACTTTACATGGCGGATCTTGGAACACGAGCGAAGCCGAAGGCGAGGAAAGGCGCAAGCCTCTGCGGAGGAGAGAGGTACCTGTCAGTTCTGGATTGTTGTGACGCATTTCCGATGCGAGATGTGATCAGATAGGTAATATTCAAAAACATGTCGGCTGTGTGATGTGGGAGAAATTTTTTATGTTTGTGTTAAGATAGTGCAAGTGAGAGTCTGCTATTTTACGCGGGTCGAAACATTGTTATTCAAACATAAATATGTCGCGTTCTAGATCGAATTTTAAAAATCCTCCCGAGGAAATTAAAGAATAAAGTACACTTTATCAGAATTTGTCAGTTTTGGAGTAAAAAATTTAATATCGAACGGCATGGAGGGCGTAGAACAAGGTGTTATTTTCTCACTCCTTTTGTTATAATTATATGTTTCGAATTTCAGACATTCTGATTGGTCAAGGACGCAAAATGTAAACAAACGCGCTGATTGACTAACATTATTTACCCTTGTTGGCCCGGACAATATTCCATATAATACGATTCACGAATTTTAAAAGAGTTCGCCTATGAAGTTTAATGAACTTGCCGAGCCAGTTACATCAATATTTAATACATCTTTATCCTCTGGACTAGTACCTGTTGTTCAGGAGACATCGTGCGAGACATCGTCTCGCGGGACAATCGGAACTGTTCGGACAGAATCGGAACATACCGGTAGAACATGTGTTGTTGGTTTTTTGATAGCGAACAGTTTTCGAGATTTTTGCCAGAGTGCATTCCATGCACGTTTTGTGGAAGATCTTCAGCGTGAGTTTTTAATTGTTGGCGCACAATCATATCGAAGTTGGCGCACAAGTTTTGAGTTTTGGTGGTTGGCGCAGCATCAAATGTTTAAGTGAGACTTTGAGTATTAAAAATCGCCTGGTGATTGGATTGGCCTCGATAATTCTTTAGTGACTCGAGAAATTTGTGTTCCTGGTCAGTGTAATATTACTAAATGGTGGTTATAACTTGCTATACAACAGTACAGTAACAACACACATCACTGCTCATCAGCAAAACATCTTATTCGATCATCAGTTACACGCTTTTTAGCAAGTTTTAATTTTGAAAAACTAACTATTAATTTAATGAAAAATCACAGTTGAAAAATCACAGTTCCCATGATCAGCCGACGCACAAGTTGACCTCACTCGGCGCACGGCAACACCACCTCAGATTATCTTCGGCGTGAGGTTTATACGGAATGCACCCTGGGATTTTTGTGTATTGTACGTGTAATTTTATATATTTTTTGTTCATATTAAACTAAATTCCTTTCATTAATCGTTTGGGGATTATTTTCGAGTTCTGCGGAACATTTTTTGGCGATCCTGCCAAGACATTGGCTATTTTATCGGTGTTTATCGTGCGAGGAGTCTAATATGGGCGATAGTGACGGTGAAAATATCGGCTTAAGCGAAGAAATCAATTCGAAAGATGCGGGAAATAATCGAAAGGAAATCGAAGCGAAGATATTGGAGTTAAAAAAGGTAAAAGAGCGAAGAAAACAGCGACTACAAAGGTGCGACACGTCTTGTGTCAATTGTGTGCTGTACAGAGCGAAGAGAACGTCGGAGAAATCGAGAAGAATATCGAGGTACTTTGGGGACTGTTAGAGGTAACTTTGAGCATTATTGACGAACTTTGTTTTCTGTACATAAAGATGGACGATTATGAAAGTAAGAAAGGCTGAAAATGTAGTTAAGGAAACGTTGCTAGCTAAAGCAAGCAAAAATGTTAGTGTTGAGGAAGAGCTCAGTCTTACCCCTTCACAACAGTCGACTGGGTCAAACGTGTCTGGTGAGGCGGAGAACACTGGACAATTTCAGAGTCGTCTCAAAGCCCTGAAACTGCCAGTATTTGACGGCAACAAAGCGAAATTTGAGGATTTCTGGGCATTGTTTATAAGTCTAGTTGATAAAAATGCTGAGTCGGCAAATATTAAAATGGCCAGACTTAGACAGAGTCTTACAGGGATTGCATTACAGGCTATTCAGGGGCTTGATGTTTTAAAACCAGAATACGAAGAAGCAAAGGAAATTTTAAAATCAAAGTATGGTGGTCAACAAGGCTATATGTACCAGCTCGAAACTATGGCTCCTTTAAGAATTTGTTGATCGGTGTTGATAATGCAGAGCTACATTATTCTAGAGCAGATATTCGTGGTCAAGCTGGGGTCCTATTGCTCGGTTGGGTCCACTCGGGTGGACATGTATTGGTGCACCGGATACTGCTGCATTCAGAACTCATGTGATACGAACACTGTTTTCGCGGGATTTATTGAAGAGTGACGGTGAGGATATTTGTTGTGACGTCGATCAGAGTATAAAACGATTCTGGGAAATAGAGACTTCCGGTACTGAAGTTGATCAGCCTAGAATTTATACAGAGGAATTCGCATGATCGCTTCCAAAAGTAAAGTTGCGCCACCGAAACCTGTGACGTTGCCAAGACTGGAACTGATGGGGGCATTACTAGGCCTCCGTTTAACGCAAAACATCAGTCGCGTTCTTGAGATACCAATGCAATCGATCATGTTCTTCTCGGACAGCAAATATGTATTATGGTGGATCCGAGGTCGTGGACGTGATTTTCAATCGTTTGTTGCAAATCGCATAGGCGAAATACAGATGGCAACCGAACCATGTCAGTGGCAGTATGTACCCACTGACCAGAACCCGGCAGACCTTTGCACGCGAGGTGCAACGCCATCCGAGCTCGAGGATTGTTCGCTTTGGTGAAATGATCCAGTATGGTTACTAGAGGAACAGGCTAACTGGCCAAAGATGGATATCGGGTGTTGTCCAAGTCAGTTACAGGAGACAAAAGCTGTTAAACAGGTAACGGAAGATACAGGAAATTCGACTTTTTTGTCTTGCCAAGACCAACTCCCACAGCAAAAGGCAACAGAGAACGACCTGTCAACAACTGCGGAATGGAAGCTTGACCCTAAACGTTTCTCGAACTGGGTACGCCTTGTATGACTGCAAGCAAGAGTTAGGAGAGTGGTGCATAACCTTCGAAATCCGGACGAAATACAGAACAGCAAAGAACTGCTCCCGGAAGAGATCAGAGACTCCGAGGAAGACATTATCCGTAAAGCACAGAGAGAAGCATGTCCTGAGGAGTATGATGCATTGACGAAGGGGAAACCAATTTCAGGTAGTAGTCTGTCAAAGCTTAACCCGAGGCTGGATGAACAAGGTGTTATTCGTTCGGACAGTCGATTGCGTTATACCGAGTACCTTCCCTATGATGTTCGATTTCCGGTGATA